AGGCTGGAGTGCAGTGGCGTGATTTCAGCTCACTGCAGCCTAGACCTCCAGGATTCAAGTGATTCTCCCGCCTCTGCCTCCCGAGTAGTTGGGACTACAGTCGTGTGCCACCACACCTGGCTGTCTTTTGTGTTTTTAGTAGAGATAGAGTTTCACCGTATTGGCTAGGCTGGTCTCAAACTCCTGACCTCAACTGATCCTCTTGCCTCAGCCTCCCAAAGTGGTGGAATTACAGGCATGAGCCCCCACACCCGGCCCAATATATATATTTTTAAATAGAGACGGAGGTCTCACTATCTTGCCCAGGCTACTCTGGAACTCCAGCCTCCCAAAATGCTGGGATTACAGGTGTGAGCCACTGCACACAGTCCCAATATTTTGTTAAATAAGTGAATAAATAACACCTAAGTTCTGAATCATTGCTCACTGCTTTTTCGTGGTAAAGGAGATTGATGAGAGTTGTTTCAGTTTTTTGGCTTTTATTGATGAGTTCCATAAATTACATCTTGGTAATTTGGGGCTGCAGTGGTTTTACATCTCTAAAGGTTTGGGAGTACTTGTATCACAACTAAATTTCCATACAGTGAAAAGATTTTTGAAAAATAGTGAGGTGACTGGATAGAGAGTGAGGACAGGGCAAGGGATGATTTTAGTGAATGTCCTAAGCAAGCTTGGTAAAGTGCAAATTAGATGATGTGAGATGGACTTAATAATGCTTGATAATGTTGTATGTTGTATACATTTGTGACTGAAGACTGACTTTTTAAGACTGTTATTTGCAGAGGTATTTTGAGATTTTTTTTCCATTAAAGAAAATTTAAGACCTTAGAGTCTTTAGCTTTCTTTCTTTTTTTTTTTTCAGACAGTCACATTTAGCAGTGGGGAGTTGTATACCAACTTTAGTGACACTAATGTTAATACATTCTAATTACTCACTACCATCAGACCAGCCTACCTTGTTTTTTTAAAATATAAGATTTAAAATATATAAAATATAATTAAAAATTTTAAATTCTATCCGCAACAATCATCACATCAGAAATACTATTCAAAACATAATACCTTTTCCACGACATATATACCAAATATTTAAAACATTAACTACTTCTTAGTATTTACACACACCACACACTCACCACTATCGAACACACTCTTCCCAGTTAAAATGAACTCTCTCTCACTCTCAACCCTCCCCCAACAACACTCACTTCTCCTTCCTAAAACATTCCTCTCTTCACTACGACTACTCCCTCACCTAGGAACTCACACCCCCCCCCAGCACTAACTACCCCGAACATTCTCACACACTCGCCACACTTCCAATGTACTTCCATTAACTCTACCTCCCTGCCATTACCGCTATACCCGGGCAGCCTCCTGCGTGACTCTACATTTTACTCGCGCGCGCACGCCGCTGTCTATCCTCTAAGCCTTTGAATGTTACCCTACCGAACTTTCGCCATCCAGAGTTTTCATTCTCCAGGTTCATTACTAACATAATTGACTTTCTGAGTCGAATGAGAGTTACTGGAAGGAATGATGCTATATACTATGTGTAGTATCTATCTACAAGGCCAAACTATCCTCAACGAGGTTTACGAGATACATATTCCTCTCACTCATACAACTCTTCTCATAATGGTCAAGCCTAGAAACCTTGCAAAATCCTAATCACCAAACACACACACCCTTGCTATGCTTGGCGAATCTATCAGTCTTACTAGAATAATTTTTCTTTCTCCACTTCTTCCAAAAGTCTTTGTTTTATCCGATCTCTTCTCACACCCGCGTTTTTCTGTTTTATCTTCGGTGTAAATGAGAGAATGTATCCTCAAAGCAAACTTAGCCACAGTCTCGGTCCTACACCCCCCAGTCGTCGCTAACTAACAATTCTCTTTTAAACACCACCCCCCGCCACACACACAGCACTCCCCCTAACATTTCTTCTTTTTGCTTTGATGGAGTCTGCCCAGCTCACCCCAGGCTGGAGTGCGATGGTGCCAATCTCGCTCACCTGCAAGCTCCGCCTCCAGCCAGGTGCACGCCATTCCCTGCTCAGCCTCCCCCAGCAGCCCTGGGACAACAGGCGAATGCACCACGCCTGGCTACTTGTTCGCTTGTTTTTTTTTGTATTTTTTAGTAAAGAGACGGGCGTTCTCACCGTGTATCCCCCACGGAAACCGTATCGATCTCCTCGACCTCAGCGATCCCGCTCCCTACGCCCTCTCACAGCTGTTCGGATTCACAGCGCCGTGAGCCACCGCCCGGCCAAACATTTCCTTTACACACCCCCCCACACACCACTCCAACACACACCCACCATTCTCTTAACACCACACCACACACACCATTTCTTTAAAACCCACACACACACACAGCACCACCACCCACCGACCACACAAATAGGCTAGTTTTTACTTCCTTCTCTTTCCTAGACCTTTCTCCACATGCTAAATTAAAACATTGAGAGACAGTAGGGCATTTACAAACAGTAGCAGTTTAAAAAGAAGAAAAAAAGAGATTAGAGCAGATGAGAGATTCAGCAATTTAAACCTTACATGAGTTAGAATATTTGGTCTTAAGACATTTTTATCTGTTTAATTCCAGTCTTTTAAATGTTACTTACCTCTTATATTTTATCAAATACTGAAAGTAATACACTTTTAATGATATTTTTCCACTTTCTTGAATTAAGTTCTTAGTACAGTGTGAAAGTTGGTTGATTTGCTGAACATTTAAGTATATAATTGGATATTTAAATCAGTATGAAAAGGAGGAAGTTGCTTGGTTTCTTGTAGAAATTTAATGGTGTGTTTGTACAGCCCATTAGGTACTGTGAAGGAGGTTTTGGATGCTGCTTAGTAGCTTTATTTTCATACCTTAGGTCAGCATTTTCTGTAGTGAGAATATGTATTAGACGACTGAGTCGATGGTAAATATTTTAACATTTCATTTGGAAGAATAATACTCTGTTTCTTTGACACATTTCGTGATGTGTCAAAGATGCTTCTGGGGGTAACTGGCAGAATTTTGTCTAGATTAGTGAAAAAATGTGTTTGAGCAAGTATGGGGAAAAATCGAGGAAAAAATTTCATTGTCATGTTTTTGTTAAAAACGTTCATCATTGCAAGAGCTGTTCCTGTACTTTCTTAGGTGTTCCTATTTGCCAATCCAGAAAGGATATTTTGGCATATATTCTTAACTATTAGAAGTAATACTGTAGTAGTTGTATTAGGTGATATAAAAGTTAAAACTTGGGTATTATATACATAGCCAAGAAGTTGTGGGGGTTAAGTAAGGCCTGTATCTTAAGCGTTCAAGATAATAATTTAGAGTAAGCTGTAGAATCAACTTATAATAATGACTTGCCTTTCTTTGGCAACCAGTAAACTTTGCCTAAAATTGTATTTATTTTTATCGAAGGCATAGTCCAAATTCTGCTTTTGAGGTTTGCTCTATATTTATTTTTTAAATGAAATGGAATCATAAGGACATTTTTGGTGAGAAAATGTAGTATTACTTTTTCTTCAGAGAAAGTCATAAATAGTGATATATAAAATGGGGATCTTTTAAGAGAAGTTAATGAGTTGTGTCACTGATTTCCCTCTCCGTATTGCTAGCTGAGTAGTAGATGGTTCAGTGTGGTAATGTTTTCTTTTAAATAAGAGGTGAGGTTTAAGAAGCCATAATATAGTGAAGGCAGTCACATTACTCTTGTTGGTGTTTTTTTTTTTTTTTTTTTGAGACAGGGTCTCCCTCTGTCGGGGGGGACAGAGTCTCACTCTGTTGCCCAGACCCTGGATTGCTCTCATAGAGCTTACATTTGAGTTGTAGAGA